CTATCGTGTTCCTGATCTCAGGGGGAAAGCTCTCAGTTCTTACCCGTTGAGGATGATTTTAGCTGAAGGCTTCTCATAGATGGCTTTTATGATGTTTAAGTAGGTTCCTTCCATCCTGACTTTCTCTAGAGTCTTTATCAAGAAGGGATGCTGTATGGGGCGCCTGGGTGGCTTAGTCGGTTAAGCGTCCGACTTTCGCTTAGGTCATGATCTTGCGATTCGTGGGTTCGAGCCCCACGTCGGGCTCTGTGCTGACTGCCAGCTCAGAGCCTGGAGCCGATTTCGGAGTCTGTGACTCCCTCTCTCTCTGACCCTCCCATGCTCACGCTGTCTCTCTCTCTCTCTAGAAATAAATTAAAAAAAAAACATTTTTTAAAAAAAGGGATGCTGTATTTTGTCAAATGCTTTTTCTGCATCTATCAACAGGATCATATGGTTTTTTTCTTTTCTTTTGTTGATGTGATGTATCATATTGATTGATTTGTGAACGTTGAACCAGCCCTGTAACCCAGGAATGAATCCCACTTGATCTTGGTGGATGATTCTTTTTATGTGCTGTTGGATTCGATTTGCAAGTATCTTTTTGAGGATTCTTGCATCTGTATTCATCAAGGATATCGGCCTGTATTTCTCTTTTCTTGCTGGATCTCTGTCTGGCTTGGGAATCAGAGTGATGCTGGCTTCATAAAATGAGTCCGGGAGTTTTCCTTCGATTTCTATTTTTTGGAATAGCTTGAGAAGAATTGGGATTAATTCTGTTTTAAATGTCTGGTAGAATTCCCCAGGGAAGCCATCAGGTCCAGGGCTTTTATTTGTTGGGAGATTTTTGATCACTGATTCAACTTTTTCACTAGTTATGGGTCTGTTCAGATTTCCTATCTCTTCCCGTGTGAATTTTGGTAGTGAGTGTGTGTTTAGGAATTTGTCCATTTCTTCTAAGTTGTCCAATTTATTGGCAGATAATTTTTCATAGTATTCCCTGATAATTGCTTGTATTTCTGAGGGGTTGGTTGTAATAAGTCCATTTTCATTCATGATTTTATCTATTTGAGTGCTCTCTCTTTTCTCTTTGAGAAGTCTGGCTAAAGGTTTGTCAATTTTGTTTATTTTTTCAAAAAACCAACTCTTGGTTTCATTGATCTGTTCAACTATTTCTTTGGTTTCTATATTGTTTATTTCTGCTCTGATTTTTACTATTTCTCTTCTCCTACTGGGTTTGGGGTGCTCATGTCACTCTCCCTCTAGTTCCTTTAGGTGAGCTGTTAGATTTTGCACTTGTGCTTTTTCTAATTTCTTGAAATAGGCCTGGAGTGCAATGTACTTTCCTCTTAGGACTGCCTTCACCGCATCCCATAGAGCTTGGATTGTTGTATTTTCATTTTCATTTGTTTCCATATATTTTTTAATTTCTTCTCTAATTGTCTGATTGGCCCATTGATTCTTTAGTAGGGTGTTCTTTAACCTCCATGTTTTTGGAGGTTTTCCAGACTTCTTCCTGTGATTGATTTCAAGTTTCATAGCATTGTTATCTGAAAGTGTGCATGGTATGATCTCAATTCTTTTATACTTATTGAGGGCTTCTTTATGTCCCAGTATGTGATCTATCTTGGAGAACGTGCCATGCGCACTTGAGAAGAAAGTGAATTCCCTGGCCTCAGCATGTAGAGTTCTAAATATATCTGTCAGATCCATCTGATCCAATGTGTCATTCAAGTCCATTGTGTCTTTAGTGATTTTCTGTCTAGTTTATCTATCCATTACTGTAAGTGGAGGATTAAAGTCCCCTGCTATTAGCACATTCTTATCTATAAGATTGCTTCTGTTTGTAATTGTTTTAAATATTTAGGTGCTCCCATATTTGGTGCGTAGACATTTATAACTGTTAGTTCTTCCTGATGGATAGACCCTGTAATTATTATATGATGCCCTTCTTCATCCCTTATTACTGTCTTTAAAGTTCAGATTGTCTGATGTTAAGTATAGCTACTCCAGCTTTCTTTTGACTGATATATATTTCTCCATCCCATTACTTTTAATCTGAAGGCAATTTCCAGTCTAAACTGCGTTTTTTGTAGACAGCAAATAGATGGATTTTGGTTTTTTTATCCATTCTGCTACCCCATGTCTTTTGATTGGAGCATTCAGCCTATTTACATTCAGTGTTATTATTGAAAAATATGGGTTTAGAGTCATTGTGTCATTTGTGGGATTCATGCTTGTGGTGGTGTCTCTAGCATCTTGCTTTCCTTGTATCATTTCCCTCTGATATTCTCTCTTAGTATTTCTTGTATGGTTGGTTTAGTGTTGACAAATTCTTTCAATTTTTGTTTATTTGGAAAGACTTTTATCTCTCCTTCTATTCTGAATGACAGGCCTGCTGGATAGAGGATTCTTGGCTGCATATTTTTTCTGTTCATCACATTGAAGATCTCCTGCCATTCCTTTCTGGCCTGCCAAGTTTCAGTAGATAGGTCTGTCACCATTCTGATAGGTTTCCCTTTGTATGTTAGGGCCCTTTTCTCCCTAGCTGCTTTCAGAATTCTCTCTTTGTCCTTATATTTTGCCAGTTTCACTATGATATGTTGTGCAGAAGATCAATTCAAGTTACGTCTGAGGGGATTTCTATGTGCTTCTTGAATTTCAACATCTACTTGCCTCCCCAGGTTGGGGAAGTTCTCTGCTATAATTTGTTCCAGGACTCCTTCAGCACCTTTCCCCCCTCTCTTCCTCTTCTGGGATTCCTACGATACGGATATTGTTGTGTTTGATTATATCGCTGAGCTCTCGAACTCTTCTTTCATGTTCCTGGATCAGTTTATCTCTCTTTTCCTCAGTTTCTTCTTTTTCTATAATAGTGTCTTCTAAATCACTCATTCTCCTTTCTGCCTCTTCAATCCGTGCATTGGACGCCTCCAGTTTATTATGTATCTCATTTATCGCATTTTTAAATTCATCACAATTATTTTTAAGCTCCATAGTGTTTGTAGCCATAGTTTCTCTGATGTCCTCTATGCTTTTTTCGAGCCCAGCGATTAATTTTATGATTATTGTTCTAAATTTTTGTTCAGTTATGTTGCTTATATCTGTTTGGAGCAGTTCTTTAGCTGTCATTTCTTCCTGGAATTTCTCTGGAGGAGAGTTCTTCCATTTCATTATTTTGGTTAGCTTTCTATCTCTTGTTAATTTTAAAAGCTTGTTGTACACTCTGCCCCTGCGAGTTCTACTGTATTAGAGACAGCTCTTTGTTCAGGGCCTGTCTGTTAGGGAAGTGTTCTTTGGATGGTGTCTCTTGGTTTCTCTTGTTGAGCGTTTGGTGATTTTATTTCCCTACTTGTAACAGTATTTGGGACTCTCCACCATGTGTACTTTGGTTTGTTTCTTGAGGTAGCCCTGGAAAAAGAAAACACACATCCACAGAGGGAACAAAGGTACACAAACACACAGACAAAACAAACATGCAAACCCAGGCTCAGGTAAAAACAACAACAAAACAGCTCTCTGGAGGGGATGGGCTTGGTTTGGTGTAGGCAGGTCTCACCTCCACTGTGTCCGCTGGCTGCTCCCTGAGGCCCAGCCTTGGTGGTTGTGGGGAGAAGAATGGCATCACCCCAGTCCCTTCTCAACCAAGCATTGCAAATCATTCCTTTGGGTCCGATCTTCCTGTGCTGAGGACATAGCCAGGGTGGGCTGAGTTCTATGCCCCACGCCCCACCTCGTTTCCAGGTCTCAGTCCGTGGGCTTTGTTTATACCGCCCTAAACTGTCCCGCAGGTCGCTGCTTCTCTGCTGCCAGGGGTTGAGTGGGGGGGGTGGGGGAAGTGTCGCAGCCCCACATCCGCCAGGGTCAAGCAGCGATACAACCGAGTGCATGTGAGGAACGTAGCAACTTAAGGTCCGCAGAGTCCGCCAGGGATGGTGCCGGGAGCGCTGCAGTGCAGTTTTTTCTGGCGCCTTCTGGGACTGGGGGCACCCAGTTCAAAGTCAGCACCCCAGCCAGAACTAAAAAACACTCTCTTTCCAAGCTGAGGTTTTTCTCTTCTCCAGGGACGGTTCTATGAGCAATCTCAGCTTCTCTTTCCTTTCCCCTGGACTCGCCGCAGCTCACCCCCGCTCACCGGTTTATCACTCACCGCAGCTGCACACAAGACGGGTTCCCTCCTCTCCCTCTGTATTTCTGGGTCCCGTCCTGCTTTTATTTTCCCCAGTTCGCACTCACGCACTTATGAGGTTTCCTTCCCAGTGGATTCTGTCTCCTTCTCTTCCCAAACTCCTGTGGCTCAGTGTCCTAGGACTTCAGGCCTTCTCTGTTTAAGAGATGGGTGCAAGCGAAATGCACGGAGCTCCCTACTTCTCCACCATCTTGCCCTAAGCCCTTCAATAAACATCTTTATCACAATCTACTTAGAGTTTATACTGTTCTACTTCACACGAAATACAACAACTTTTTAATATTATAGTTTTACTTATCATTCTCCCAACTTCGGGAGATTTTTGTCATATCTCTTATATCTACTTATGTTACAAACCCTACAATACAGCGTTATAGGTTGTATTTTACAATCATATGGTTTTTTTCAAGAAATTAAGAAGATATGTATGTGGCATGGCTGGCTGGCTCAGTTGGTGGAGCATGTGACTCTTGATCTCAGGGTTGTGAGTTCAAGCCCCACTTTGGGTCTAGCGATTACTGAAAAATAAAATCTAAAAAAGAAAAAAGAAAATGTGTACCTTCTCTCATATTTATCCAAATATTTACTATTTCCTGTGCTTTTCAATCCTTCCATTGAATCCAGGTTATCAACTGGTGCCATTTGTTTGCCACTTGAAAAATTTCTTCAGTATTTCTTATAGCACAACGTACATATTCTTAGCTTTTGTCCGTGTGAAAACATCTTTATTTTTCTTCGTTTTTGGAAGATAATTTTGCAACGTATAGAATGCTGGGTTGATAGTTTTGCTTATTTCCGTTCTTAAAGGTATCATTCCATTGTTGTCATGGTTTGGGTTTCCTAGGAGGCAGGCTCTGAAGGGAAATTTTGCCAACAGAATGTTTACTACAGAGTTTCCTTGGTATCAAAACCTGTGGAAAGAAAGGAGCAAGAGGAGTCGGAAAGAAAAATTGAGCTCTGATGCATGTCCTCTAATAGCGTCGACCGATGCCCCGTGGAGAGCGAGAGCAAGAATGGCTCTCCAGATTTGTCTTGCACTGGGCCCAGGTGGTCAGGTCCTGCAATGACCAACCAATCACTGGCTATAGGTATCCCAGGCAAATCCAAGATCTTAACTGAATCAGTGCTCTGCTGGTTGAGGCAATCCTGAAAGGAGCAAAACCGAAGGTAAGTTGCTAACGACACCTCTCCCAACTGGGGCAACAAGTTTTCCACTCATGTGGTCTAGGTGTGGATCACAGACTTCTTGTGTCCACTGCTTCTTAGGAGAAGTCTTCCATCATTTGTATTATTGTTTCTAAGTAATATATAGGCTTTTTTCCCCCCTGGCTCTTTCTCGTCATCTTTGGATTCCAATAGTCTGTCATGTTGTTTTTTCGTTTTTGTATTTATTCTGCTTGTGGTTCACCGACCTTGGATCCATTAGTGTTTTTACTAAATCGGTAAGTTTTCAGACACTATTTCTTCAAATTTTTTTTCTACCCTATTCTCTTGCTTCCTTCTGGTATTCCAAATCACATGTATTAGACTGCTTAAATATCAGAAACTATAGCTCTTCGAAAATCTTTTTCACATTTCTTCTTTTCTTCCTTTTCTTGAATTTGGACAATTTCCATTTACCTGCTTTCGAGTTCACAGATTCTTATGCCTTCTCCAACCTGCCATTAAGCGGATCTAGTAAATGTTTAATTTTAGTTCCTGGATTTTCCACCTAGAATTTTCATTTGAGTCTTCTACAGACTGAATGTTTGTGTCTCTCCCCCCATTCACATATTGAAATGTGACAGTATTAAGAGGTGGTGCCTCTGGAGGTAATGAGGTCATGGTGAAGTCAGTGTGAGTGGGATTTGTGCCCTTATAGAAGAGGCCCTGGAGAGTGCCCTTATTCCTTCTGACACGCAAGTACACAGTGAGAAGTCGGCCATCTAGAAACCAGGAAGCAGAACGTCACCACAGACCAAACCTGTTGGTGCCTTGATCTTGGACTGCCCAGCTTTCATAACAGTGAGAAATGAATGTTTGTTATTTAAGCCACTCAGTCTATGGTGTTTTTGTTACAGCAGCCCAGCCAGAGCAAAATGGAATCTTTCCATTCCTTCTATTTTGCTGCAGTTTCTCCATCTGTTCATTCATTAAGACTACATTTTCCTAGAAGTCCTTGAGCATATCATTAATAGCTGCTTTGAAGTCTCTGTCTATGAAGCACTGCCACAAGTTTGATTTTCTCTGATTGTTTTTTCCTTCTTCTTTAATATGGGTCCTATTTTCCTATCTCTTTACCCATTTGATCATTTTTACTGTAGACTAGACATTAAGAATTATACATTGTAGACATTCTTGATTCTGTTATATTGCTCAGAAGAGTCTGACTTTTCTTCTAGTAGGGAATTAAACTGGCTGGACTCAAACTCCTAAGTCTGTCTCCTCTGTTTTGGATGAAAGCTGAAATTTCCACTCAATTCTTTCTGTTTCTAATGGCCACGTTTTCTCTATACCCTAAGTGGTCTCTCCCACTGGGGCATATTTCAGCGGCTTGACAAGAATTTGAGCAGAGTTTATATGCAGATTTGGGGTTCACCACCTCCATGACCCCCTCTTTTCTAGGATTCTCCCTCCAGCTCCCCAGCTGGTCTTCCAGTATTCTGACACCAGTATTCAGTGAGGCTACAACTTCATTCTGAGCCACCGAATGGATTGATGAACAATTCTGTGTGAAAACTGCGAAGCCAAAAGTCATATTGGTGTAGTTCCAATCTTTTGAGGGTAAACTCCTCTCCGATATCTACCTCCTTTTAGTTCTGTTGAATGTCTTCGGATAGCTAGTTTTTAATATTCCTATCCAGACTCTATCACTGTTGTCTGTAGAAAGATTAGCCCGGCCAAGCTACACTACCATTACCAGAAGTCAAATTTCCCCATATTACTATTGTGCTCCATACTGGAATCATACCTAAATCCCGATTTGTCTTATGTCGGTGTTGTAATTCACTTCCCTTGCATCGGTGCTATGTTTAGGAAGGGTCAGGTATCAGTCCAGAAAACAGAAGTTACTCTTTGCAGTCTAGCCCTAAAGGGCTTTAATACAGGGAATTGGTGGCTTATCCCAAAAAAACATTTCTAGGAGTATCACATGTGATCACAATTCTGGCTGCAAATGACTAGAGAATAATGATCTCTCCATCACTTTGTCTCAAGGATGCGTCTCATCAATACTGTCTATCCTGGAACCATACAACAAAAGGGAACTGGCAAACAGAGCTCCTGACTTCTCTTCAAAGCAAAGGAGACCATAGAAGGGGTGGTGGTAATGCCAAGTTGACCAAAGATAATCCAACACGGGGCATATGACCCAAATTAGCCAAAAGCACGGGAGGGGAAGGGAGCTGCAGAGCCTCTGGAAAAAAATTTATTTGCTGATAAACACACACACACACACACAGACTCACCTGAAGAATGGTGCCTCTTCTTACATTGGATTTTTTTCATGTGACTGTTGTAATAGAAGCATTGATCTCGTGATCATGAGGAGAAGCCAACTGAAATGGAAGCAGATATGGCATCTGAAGCCTGTCCAGTCTGGACTTCCTGTTGTCAGAATCAGTGGTATTATTTAAATAATTTTTAATTGGTTTATTTTGTTACTTTCAATAGACACAGTACCTTATTTAGAGCATAGAAGTAACTCCCAGAAGAAACCATTTTAAGGGGTGAAAGTGGTAGCTTTTAAGGAGTAAGACTGGAGGTAATGAGATGTGGTACCATGCACTCTGCTTTTTATTCTATGCCTTGTGCTATTTTACATTGTAAAGAAGATACATGCAGTACTTGGATAAAAAAAATAATTAGAAAAGAGTCAATCTGACAACTGCTCTCTGTCTCCACATCACAGTTCTCTTGATTAACTCTGATCTTAGCACAAAAGGAAATGGCAGCTAAATTCAACAGTTCTCCCTTGCTTTTTTGTTTTTAAGGTTTTTTTTTTTTTCTTTTGAGAGAGAGACAGCAGGGGAGGGGCAGAGACAGAGGGAGGAGAGAATCTTAATAAGAGGGTCTCACAACTGTGATTACATGACTTGAGCCCATCAAGAGTCAGATGCTTGGGCATCTGGGTGGCTCAGTCACTTAAGCCTCTAACTCCTGATCTTGGCTCAGGTCATGATCTCACAGTTGAGGGATGAAGCCCCGTGTTGAGCTCTACACTGATAGCATAGCACCTGCTTGGGGTTCTCTCTCTCCTCTCTCTCTGCCCCTCCCCCCCACACATGTGCTCTCTCTCTCTCTCAAAATAAATAAACTTAAAAAAAGAAGAAGAGTTGGATGCTTAAGAACTGAGCCACCCAGGCACTCCTCTTCCTTGCAGGCAATTATCAATTCTAGCTGCCATTTGAGGAGCATCCTGAGGGAACTAGATCCTCATACCCCTCAATGTACTATTTGTCACCAAAATAATCATCTTGAAGGACAAATATGATCACATACCTCTCCTGCTTAAAATCCCTAAGTGGCTTCACATTGTCTCTACAGGCTAAAATCCAAAGTCCATAATATGGCATCCAAGACTCTTGATGATCTGGCCCCTAATACTCTCTCATGTATATATTCTAGCTATTTGTAAAATCTTGCTTTTCTCCACACTCAGACTTCCAATCTTTCAGAGTTTCTTTGATTTGGAACATCCTTCCTAAATAATCTACTTTCAGTTACCTGTTATGTGAAAATTTCTTACTCCTCTAGTTCTTCTAGTCTCTTTTTCAACATGTGTTGTAAATGCCTATCGCCTCCATCAACACAAGTTTTTTTTTAATTTTTTAAAATGTTTTATTTATTTCTGAGAAAAAGAGAGAGAAAGAGAGAGAGAGAGAGAGAGGCAGTGTGAGCAGGGGAGGGTCAGAGACAGAGGGAGACACAGAATCCAAAGCAGGCTCCAGGCTCGGAGCTAGCTGTCAGCACAGAGCCCAACATGGGGCTCGAACCCACGAACTATGAGATCATGACCTGAGCCAAAGTCAGACGTTTAACTGACTGAGCCACCCAGGCACCCCGACACAAATTAAATTACTACTCAAAGCCCATTACTAGAAAGTCTGAAAAACCGAAATCTCTTAAAATGGAAATATATTTTGGAAATCCATTTGGTGACAGAACCTGAACTGAACTATTTATGTTTATAATTTCAATTTATTCCACTTTGTGTTAATATTCATTAATTTTGTTGCAGAACTATTAATGGGTTTCATCATACAGTGAAGCCTCAGACACCATTGATAATGATCTGGAACACACAGTACATGCACCTATAGTATATGCACCTATAGTATATGGGCGTCATGTCACACTTGTATTTAACTACATTCCAAAATGGCTACTGCAACATTTCTCATCCCACAAATTCTTCTAGAACTTTTACTACTTTTCAAGAGGGCAGGTCTATTTCCTTTCCCATGCTTTAATGAATAAAAGTGGTGGAAGTGGCATTCCTTGACCTCCAAGGCTAGGTCACCAAAGGTGATATGGCTTCTGCCTATTTTCTTTCCTCCCTCAAAATGCTTGCCCTTTGAACTTAGTTGCCACGTTGTGAGGAAGCTCAGCCACACAGTGAAGCCACCTGTAGCTGTTCTAGCCTACAACCCCAGCTGAGGTCTCTACTATCAGCCATTATTAACCACCAACCAGCATCAACTATAAGACACATGAATGAGCGATACCTTCAGATGATGCCTGTTTCTTCAGCACTCAAGTGCCCCCAACTATTGTCTGAATGGATCAAAGATGAGCTGATCCCAAGCCTTGCCCCAAACATAGATTCATGAGAAAGACAAACATTTTGGCTGTTTTAAGGCATAACATTTTGGGTAATGTTCTACAGCGATAGTGACTGGAATCTCATTCTATTTATTTTGTAAAAATGTGAAATATTCTGAATTCTAAAACCCGTCAAAGGTTTCAGATAAGATCTGCATACGAAAATTATGCTTGTCTATCTTTTTCTCTATAGAAATAGAAGTTCTTTGAAGACAAGAACTAAGTTTTCCTCTCAGAGCTACTGTTTAAGATAGGGTAGGTCCTCATGGCATGTCTATTGAGTTAATGCTGAATATATAGATGAATGAACAAATAAAAAAACACAGTTGCAAACAAATGATTATTTCAAAATAGTTTTTCAGTAGACTGCTCTTTTACTCAACGCAATCCACTGCTCAAAAATAACTTAGAATACCTTATGATTATTTTCAGTTTACAAGCTATACAAAAGACGTCTTCAATTTTCCTATCTTGTTTTTATCCAGAAGTGTTATCTATTACGATTACATGTTTTATCCATCAAAGCATGTTCCAAATAACTCTTGGCTGTTTCCAGAAGTCAAATGCATCCTTAAGGATGAAGATTTTCCATTACTGAAGATAATCGAAGTCATTTGACGTAACTCTGAAAGCTATGCCACAACAGGAGATCCCAATGGTTTTGAACAATGAATGCAGTGTTCAAATGCAATGCCATCCAAGGCACGGATGCACAGATGCAAAGATTGTAGCATCCGTGTCGACAGTTTTGGGAGGGGGAAAAAAACACATTAATTTGGATTATAAATTCTACCTTGCATGGCAAAAATATGAGTGTATTTATCTCATGATCATATGTCACATGGGCGTCATGTCACACATGTATTTAACTACATGAGGAAAACGGAGGAAAGTAGAGAGAAAATCCTTAACGTCATAAAAACGTGCACAGACAATGTCGATTTATGTCTTAGTGCTCCTGTTGGGCATAACGGTTTTAGCTCTTCTCAGGGTATGTTGTAATGATGAAATAAATGAGGTACTAGTTTTACAGTTTTGCTGCCAAAACAGGTGTCTGATCAGAATGCAATGGATCCTTAGTGTCCTGCTTTTCCCTTCCTCCTCATGGTGTGTAAATTGCATAAGCTAGGTGGCATGTAGGTGCATTTCAGGATAATTCACATCCAGAGGAAATCTCTATGAAAGCAAGAGTCATTAGATAAATATAAGATTAACCACAGTCTCTCAAAAAAATGCCAAGAAGGTGATGAATCTTACAACCCATAGCACAACTTCCTGAAAATCTTTTCCTTCTCCTCTCTGGTATCTCACAGAGCCGGGCAGGAACACTGCCTCCAGCCCTCCTTCTTTCTATCTAAAATCCTTCCCTTCTTGCTCTCTCTCCTATGACCCGTCCCACATACACACCCCTCTGTTCTTTTTCTGCCTACTGCTCTCATCTTCTCTATCTGTTCCTTTCTCACTGTACTGCTTCCTGAGATCACTTGAACTGACCCTGGCTCCATGTGAGTCCCTTTCTCATTCACTAACCTGGTCCCGTGCAATCCTGAGCCCAGGAACACAGCACAAGTAAAAAGAAAATTCTCTTTTTTCAAGGTGAGGAAGCAGAGAGGCTGTGAATCCTGAAATATGAATTTTTTCCTTGTCACACCAACTTCTTGCAAGCAGAATTCCATTTCACTAAATAGCAGTTGTGTGACGAGTGACCTCAACCAGATATACTTTCAGAACAGCACAAAGTGCAACATGACCTGGCTACAGACTCTAGATGAACAGTTCAAGGACCACAGATTCACTGGTGTATATTGCTGCAGGCCCACTGGGATCTGGATAAATTGATATTGATTTAAATGGATGTGTGAACCGTCATGAGGAGCTATTTCATCCCTGGGGCTACCTTATTCCTGGGGTCCCTTCCCTTTCACCTGATACCTAAGTACCACTTTTCTAGGTTTAAAAGGGAGTTGAAAGCCCCAGCAACTGCCAAAGACCCGATAATGACAGTCAAGTATCCACTTCTATATCCCTACTCCCTCTTCCCCTTTGGACTTGGAACCCCAGAAGAAATGCCAGGGATTGGAGGGTAGAGAAGCTGCAAAGCAGAAATTCCCAAGTATGATAAGGTGGCCAATAAAATACAGTACACTGAATTAAATCTGAATTTCACATAAAGAATGAATAATTACTTGGTATAAGTATGTCCCAAATATTGCATGGGGTAGATTTACACTTAAAAAAAAAAAAAAAAAAAGCATTCATTCTTTACATATGGAGTTCAAATTTAACTGGGTGGTCCTGCTTAACTTTTCCCTGGAGATCTGGCAATCCTAATTTAGCACGATCAATGGGAAGAATATCAACCACGAATGAATATCTTGGGCTTAAAAATGAGAATTCTTAGGTATATACTTCTCTTGAGTGGCCCACTAAAAATGTACCTAAAGCATCAGAATATTAAAAAAGTGGGGGGGAGGGGAGAGGGAAGAAAGGCAATCTCTGAAAAGAGCAGGATCAGGCAGAAGCAATCTGGAGCAGTAAGACACTAAAGTAGCTGGTAATGTTTTATTGGCGTATGAGACACAGGGACGAAGTCAGCTTGTCCTCACAGCACAAACGATGCTGTAGCCCGGTGACAACTTACTTGTCAGCTCACCTTGTACAGAGGAGTGCATAGTCTTCTCTCCATTTCTGGAAAGGGAGATGGGAATTTCAAAGCAAATTGCCTGTGGGAACATTTTAGTTTAAAAATCTGAAGGAAATCTGCATTGCCGAAGTGAGAAGACAAAAAGATCAAAGACATTACACTAAAAGGTAACCGCGCTGACCTGGAAAACTTAGGGGAGAAGGGTGGGCTTCAACCAAAGTGCTCAAAAGCTCATGATGTTTTTGTCTTGGAAAAGATGGAGTTGAAAAGTGAAGACTTTCAGTCTAATCTGGCTTATTCTTATGGACTTGCCTTCAGCCCTTCTCATCCTCCTGAGGAAAAGGAGTCTCAGGGGACTAATACTTCAGAGACTGAAACTATTGCAGCATGGCCTCACAGGGGTGGGTCATTACTTTCACAGCAAATATGGAATCTACTTACATCTCATTGAAAATGTAATTATAAATGACTTCAGTGAAATTAGTAAAAATTACTAGAATTGTATACATAGATTTACATCTTATTTAAAATGTAATTATAGGGGCGCCTGGGTGGCTTAGTCGGCTAAGCGTCCGACTTTCGCTTAGGTCATGATCTCGTGGTTCGTGGGTTCGTGCCCCACGTCGGGCTCTGTGCTGACTGCCAGCTCGGAGCCTGGAGCCTGTTTCAGTCTGTGACTCCCTCTCTCTCGACCCTCCCCTGCTCACGCTGTCTGTCTCTTTCTCCTAGAAATAAATTTAAAAAATAAATAAATAAAAATTAAAAAAAAAACATTTAAAATGTAATTATAAACGACTTCAACGAAATTGGTAAAAATTACTAGAATTGTATAATGTATTTACAGGGATTATCAATTACTAGTAATCAAATTATGAACCCAGAAGACATACCAGATCACTTAAGTTTTATAGCTGACATCCGATTTTACTTGCCTTGCTTTGCTTTTTTAAAAACTACATTTCCCCCAAAAGACACAGATCTCATTCAAGCATTCTTTTTTTTTTTTAAACAGAGCAATGTTTTAAAATGTCCATTTATTTATTTGAGAGAGAGCAAGAGGGATTAGGGGCAGAGAGACACGGAGAGAGAAACTCTCAAGCACATTCCGCACTGTTAGTGCAGGGACCCATGCGGGACTCTTTCACACGAACCGTGAGATCATGACCTGAGCCGAAACCAAGAGTCTTAACCAACCAAGATGCTTAACCAACTGAGCCACCTAGGCACCCCTCATTCAAGTATTATTAAGCGAAGTTTCAACTACCCAGGATTCTGCAGAGGCAATGAGAGACCCTCGGTTGGCCCCGTTGGGCTGGACTGGGGCTGTGCTAGTTCAGGACAGGAGCAGCCAGGGGTGGTGAGTACAGAACCCCTTCCTGTGCCTGGACAGCAAGGGACTCATGGGGGATGGGGTCCAGGAGACTCAGTCCACGTGACAGCAGAGCTTCTGGAAGAACAGAGCAGGGAAACAAGGAGAGCGTGTGAGGGAAACAGGATGCGGCTCAAGTGATGGCACAGACAGCAACGGGCAACTGCTATGTCTCCTCGAAGGAGGTCCAAAACTTAACGCTATTTATGACGGAGATCTACGCTGAAATACGGCTTAAGAGTTGTGATGGTTAATTTTATGTGTCGACCTGACTGGGACATGGGGCGCTCAGAGTAAATGCTATTTCTGGGTGTGTCTGTGAGGGTGTTTCCGAATGAGATTAGCAGTTGAATCGGTGGCCCCAATAAAGAAGAAGGCCCTTCCCAGTGTGGGTGAGCATTACCCAAACCATTCAAGGTCCCAAGGAAACACAAAGGCGGAGGAAGGAGGAATTCTCCCCTTTGCTTCCTCCCTGCCTGCCTGAACTGGGACATCAGTGCCTCCCGCCCTGGGACTGAGATGGACACCATTAGGCCCTCTGGTTCTCAGTCCGCCTTCAGACTCGGACTGAACTACATCCCCGGCCTTCCTGGGTGGCCGGCTTGCAGGATAAGCTCATGAGACTCCTTAGCGCCTGGAATTAGGTGAGCCAATTCCTCAAAGGAATCTCTTTATCTATACCTGTATCTATATCTGTACCTATATATCTATGTCTATATCTGTATCTATATTTCCCATTGATTCTGTTTCTCTGGAGAACCTGGATTAATAGAAGTGTACAAACAAAGCCATTAAACATCACGGGGGAAACAAACTTATACCCACACAACCTGGCAAACTCTTCCTGCACATCCCCTCTCTCCAGCCCCTCACCTATCTGAATTCTACTTCCCACTGTGCATTCAATGTTTTAGAAGCGATGGCCCATGTAAAGACAGCAGCTCTTTTGGAGGGCCTGGGTGGCTCAGTCAGTTACGCTTCTGACTTTGGCTCAGGTCATGATCTCACGGTTCACGAGTTCGAGCCCCCCATAGGGCTCTGTGCTGACAGCTCAGAGCCTGGAGCCTACTTTGGATTCTGTGTCTCCTTCTCTCTCTGCCCCTCCCCTGCTTGTGCTCTGTCTCTCTCTCAAAGATAAACATTAAAAAATAGAAAGGACAGTGGCTGTTTCTCATTTCAGCAGCTAACCCAACTGTACACTCACTAAAGGTAGGAGCAGCCTCCCAGAGATCTCTATTTCCTGTGGAGCCTAAAACCTAGAAGCAAGTGCTTTGCACATAAGGAGAAGTTTCAGGGAATTAATGAATGCAATCTCTAAATTGCTAGCATTCAAAAACACTCGTTAGTACTGTATTACTAATCTCAAAAACAAAACGAAACCAAATCACAGAGAGAGGATCCTGCCTTTATTGTTCTCTCCCTCAGAGAATGGGGCTGAGCACCAGGGCAGAGGAGGGGAGGGCAGACGGCGGTCTCCCAAGCTATGGGCTTGGCACCCTTTACCAGCATTCAATTAGCCGTAAGAAAATGGATGACAGTTCTGTCCGCAGGCCATACACTTTGGGGGAAAGAACAAATGAAATAATATTGAAAAAATACATCTCTCTTCCTCTAGAACGGCTCATTTGAGCTTTATCCCAAACCTTCTTTGATATGATTAACCAAACACTGAAAACTGAAGGTACGAGACACACAAAAGCCTATTAGATTATCTAGTGCATTTTTTAGGCCACGTGTACAATTACGTGTTCCCTATAGAAATATTTTCTAGAACTTTGTCTGCCCCTTTCCCAGTAGACGTCTCCGGATGTTTTAGTCTTTTCCGAGGAACGTGTTCCAGTTAAGGCACATCTTAAGCCACCTGACGATCCTTCTGAAGCCTCTATTTCAATTTGTCGTATTTAAATTTTGCCCCATTGCTCCCACTTAGGCCCTTTTCCCGTCACCATATTGTAGATAGTTTTCATATTCCTTTTTAGGCGTAATTTAACCATGCTTCACACATTAACTTGAGTAGACAGTATATGGTATAAATTACACAAAACAGCGATGTGTGAAGACATTCTGTGGTGAATAAATTAAAGCATTAATTTCAGACATATCAAACTAACACTTTTTAAATTTGTGGTTCCTATAATTTTCAGACCTGTTTCTGAAGTCTCTGTGGTGGGAGAATTAAATGGAAGAGATTAGTCTAAAACTTTTACTTTCAATTCATAGGTTGGAGAGCAGCCATTCCCATGAATATGCAAGAGAGAAAGGATTTTTTTAAAGAACTTAACACAGAGGGGCGCCTGGGTAGCTCAGTCGGTTAAGCGTCCAACTCTTGATTTTGGCTCAGGTCATGGTCTCACAGTTCGTGAACTCGAGCCCCGCATCAGGCTCTATGGTACCTCAGGCTCTCTCTCTCTCTCCCTCCCTCTCTGCCCCTTCCCTACTTGTGCTCTCTCTCTCTCTCAAAATAAATAAACTTGAAAAAAGTGTCAAATTTTCTAAAAAAAAAATAAAATAAAAAAGAATTTAATACAGAGGTCCTACTCAGATTCAAGGAGATGCTGCCGTTCAAATAGGTGGAAAAGATGGAGTTCAGCAACTCACCATATGTCATCATCACCAATCTGGCAAGTGAGAGAGAACAGAGGGAGAGGGCTTCATTGCCCACAGAGTGTATGTGAAACTTGATACAACGAATCTGAATGGACTGAAGAAGGGCACATGTCTCTGGTCTGAAGAGAAGACTGGCACAGAGAACCCTCACTCACATTTAACCCAAATTCCTCTATGTGGAAAGGAAAACTTTCCCGGCCCAGGCTTTCCTGGGATCCTCGGGTTTCTAGTTTCCACAACTGACAAGGAATCAAAGAATGGACAAGCGACGGGCACCAAGCCACATCCGCACACAGTAACTCTCAAGGAGTGAGACTCGAGAAGAAGAATCAAGTTTGTCCCTGTTCCCAGTTTTAATTTTCGCCACAGCGTTTACCACTTACACCGTAGTTTTATTTAGTTTGTTTACTGCCTGTCTCCTCCAGCCCCCACCCAGAGATCTCAGCTCCGCGAGGGCAGAAACCGTTGCTTGTGACTTGTTCACGTCTGTATCCCCAGCGCCGAGGACACTACCCGACCCACAGCAGGCAGTGAAGTATCGGTTCAAGGAAGTCGCTTATTTGGCACGGATTTCTCCATTCACAGAGTCAGACAGAAAAATAGCATGCATATGTCTCTGCTAAAAGAGAACTAGATCCAAGAAGAAAAAAAAATTGTTCTACTATGGGAAGAAGTTTTTTAAATGCTTGAAGGTAGGCTTTGAGACAGCGTCATTCCTTAAAATATAAGCTGGGAAGTCTCTCAAATCTGACCACCCTCAAACTAAAGGGGAGGCTCAGTGAGGGCAGCGTCGCATTTTCCCCTCCGTGTCAGCTCATGACATGGACCTGGAATGAGGTAATAAGATCCAGTGGGAAGAGCCGCCCTAGACTGTGCCAGCCGCTGGTCTGAGCCCTGGCCTGCATGAATTCATTTACTTTCTACAATAATTCTATGTGGGGAGCACAACGATTACCCCCAGATCCCAGGTGAAGAACATACAGTGTAAGAGAATAAATAACTGTCAGTTATCAAAGTTTGGTTTCTCGGCTCCAGACCCACCCTTCTCTGCTTGGCTTTGTGAGCCGAGATTGGCTGAATGTCAGGCGGCGGCCCCCGGATGG